TGGACAGGATTTATACATTCGAATGGCTTTTTCTGATTCAGGTATTGGGTTAGATATTTCAGTGTTTCCTGAAGATTCATTACGATTCCTATTTATATTAGGTGTTTCCAGTTCTATTTTCAGTGAATTTGTGAAACTGTTTCATTGCTATGATACTCATTCATATATTTCTTCTTTGCTTTATTGAATTAGACCACGAAGAGACAAAAGGCACAACTAAAATGATGGCTGGACTGATAATTGCAACTGCCATTCTTGTAGTTGTTGGTGTTCTTGTAATCACCTACTACATTCGAAGGAGCCATCGAAACATAGAAGGTATTTATTCTTCTTTGACTTAACAAATCATGTTCCATTAAATATTGAAAGAAACTTCCCCTGGTTCTTTTCTCACCATTTGATTTTTTTGGTAAATTCTTCATCCCTTCAGCAAGAGAAAATGGCAGCAGTGATGAAAGACAAATTGAAGATGTGGAGCTCCCATCCTTCGAGTTAGATTTAATATCGAATGCCACCAGTAACTTCTCTTCAAACAACAAACTAGGAGAAGGTGGCTTTGGGCCTGTATACAAGGTAAATTTTAAGTGCTCTAGGAAAAATGACTATTAGGATAACAAATCTTTGTCAAAAAAGTAATAATCAACTTTATAAGTACACTTTTGCAGGGTACTCTACCAGATGGAAAAGAAATTGCCGTAAAGAGGCTCTCAAGAAGCTCTGGACAAGGAATAGCTGAGTTTAGGAATGAAGTAGCACTTATAGCCAAACTTCAACATCGAAATCTTGTAAAGCTTCTAGGATGCTGCATTCAGGGGGAGGAGAAAATGCTGATTTACGAATATATGCCCAATAAAAGTTTGGACTTCTTCATTTTTGGTTCGGGATCTTGTTAAACCATTAATTCAATTAACTTTGTAGAAGTATATAAATTCATTGCAATACTTTTCATTATTCAGTGCAACTCTTTTTCAAAACCTCTAGCTGAATGCTGCATTAATAGGATGAACATATTATGTGACAGACCATACAAGAAGGAATCTATTAGACTGGCCAAGGCGTTTTCACATTATTTGTGGAATTGCTAGAGGGCTTGTCTATTTACATCAAGATTCTAGATTGCGGATCATCCATAGGGATCTCAAAGCAAGCAATGTTTTGCTCGATAGTGAAATGAATCCCAAAATTTCTGACTTCGGCATGGCTAGAACATTTGGAGGAGAACAATTTGAGGGGAACACAAATAGGGTAGTTGGAACCTAGTAAGTAAGCCCTCTCTATGCTACCTAATTAACTACAAAATCTACGGTGTATAAATTTTATTAATTATTTTTTGCAGTGGTTATATGGCACCAGAATATGCCATTGATGGGCAATTCTCAATAAAATCTGATGTCTTCAGCTTCGGAATATTGTTGTTGGAGATAATAAGTGGGAAGAAGAATAAAGGGTTTTACCATCTCAACAATAGCCTTAACCTTATTGGACATGTAAGTAACAAGATTCCAGAACTACTTCCTTACCTTCCTAGAACTAGAAAATGACAGAGTTTAATTTTGTATTTAGGCTTGGAGATTGTGGAAAGAAGGAAATCTTTCAGAACTGATTGATTCATTTGTACAAGACTCTTGCACTCTATCGGAAGTATTGAGGTGCATCCACATTAGTCTCTTATGTGTTCAACAACATCCTAAGGACAGGCCAAATATGTCATCTGTGGTTTTAATGCTGGTTAGTGAGACTGCAATGGTAAATCCCAAAGAACCTGGTTTCCTTGTTGACAAGAAATCATTGGAAGCAAGTTCATCTAGCAAGCCTGAATCATCTTCAACCAATGAACTCAGCCTCTCAGTGTTAGAACCTCGATAAAAGGTTAATTACTTGAAAACTAATATGCCTCATGCTGCAAACATTACTTATTGCAAATATTACTTAGCTGAAATAGGTAGGAATTTGGGTTAAGTTGATAATATTAATCAGCAAGCTTTCTAATTGGGATTTTTCTGTGAGTAGGTATTATTTTCTGTGCATATATTGAGTTGAATTTGCTTATAATTAATTTTATTGAGTCACTTGTATTGAATTTGCATTCCTAAGTTATAATGCATGTGCGTAACTTGTAATGAACCTATACTTTGAGTTCATGACTATAAAACATACGGTTATGGTTTTTCTTGCCTTGAAACTTCACGAGCTTAGCCTAAATTTGTGTGGATCTTTACCGAGTATGACAGAACTTTATGTGCATTTCTAGAAAAATCACTGCATGTAGATTTACGAACTAGAATTTAGTATTGTGAATTCTATGACTTTCAGGGGACTTAATTCCCATTAATATTGTGTGAACCATATAACTTATTGCTTGAGGATTGAGGTATTCAGAGGACCTTCCAAGGTTATAGTGGTCCTCTTGCAGTAGGGTGACTGAGACTAGCTCCATCTCTAATGTGAGTGCTAACATATTCGGTGAATTTAATGGTATTGTGATTTCGGTATGGGTGTTCTATTCTGTATTGTGATTTTGAAGGCCATTGTTAAGGCACACAGAATTGTTGAGGCCATACAAAAATAATATAAATTTATTTGATTTAATTGTTACTATTAGGAGCAATTGACAATATTTTGTCTGTTAATTATATTATTTAACCGTAATAGTGGAATTAGCCTATAAATTTGTGCTGCCAAACATTTTAGTAATCACATACTGAAAATTAGACAAAGTAAACATTTTTACAGTGTTTTGTGTAGCAATAACAATCCTCTATGTGACCATAACATGACCAATTTGAAAATGCTGTAGTTAATTTGTGCTTTGAGTTAAGACCTCTCTTGAAATTCAACTATTATAAATTCCTAAGTAGTTGTATATGGATT